AGTGTGGTATGAATCATTCACTACCACTCTAATATCCCAAACAAAGAGGCAGCAACCTTTTCTATAGAAGTTTATTCCCAAAACAGAGCGCGGCTTCACGGAACAATTTACACAGACAGGGAAGGAGGCTGCTGAGCTGGAGATGGGGGAGACCCCAGAGAGGGGCAGCTACAGAACCTAGGACATAGCAAAAACACTCTCCACCTTCAGCAGGCCCTTGGGCCTTTCAAGGACTGGGGTAGTTTTGGATAAGGAGAGCCAGGATCTTGGCTGGTGAGGTTTGGCACCAGTCAGGGAAATGGAATGTCTAATTTCCTTGGAAACTGCCACCCAAGTGTATGTGCGTGTGTACGGGGGAGGGATTTAGTGTGGGGAGAGGTATGGTCTGCAAAGAATACTGCACCACCTTTTCCAGTGGCAAGAGAACACCCATTCTCTAGGCCTTCCGGGTCTGCTGTTTTGATTGGGAAATCAGTGTTGCTCTTTAGTCTCAAGGGAGCTGGGGGTTAGAAGCCCCCTTGAGATGGCCAGGTCCAGGGTCCTTAGGAGAGGTGGCTGCTCCAAGCCCCTCTCCTATCTTTCACTTGTAAACAAAGTAAAAACAAAAAAATAAAAACGGTTCTCAATTGTAAAGGAAGGATATAAGTTCAACATTTTTAGTTGTAAACAAAGTAAAAATATTAAAAAAATATTGCCCTATAAACAAAGTAACAAAATTTAACAGTCCTTAATTCTGGACGTCAGACAAAATAACAAAAGTGAGAATTTTGAGTTTTGTGAACAGGGTCTAACAGTCATTTTCCCCTTTTTTAAGGGAAGGAAGAAGAGGTGGAACTGAGTCACTTCCACCAGCCCGAGTGGCTGGGGCCAGGGAGGTTCCTGTAAACATGAGAGACAGTAGCACCTACATTCTGGGTCTTGAATTCCCTTCTTTCTGCTCCTTTTGTTTTTCTTCCTACCCTAGAGTAAATTCTGGCAGGCAGCAGTGTTAGGGAATGAAATGGCACCACAGACAAATTTTGCTCACAGCAGAGGCAAGGCCAGGCAAATGGTGCTGCCCACTCACCCTCTGCAGGAATGTCTGAATAGAGGCCTGAACCCCTCCCCAAGGGAAGAAGGGAAGCCTTGCTCTGTAAACATGACCTCTGCTGCATCACCAGCATCCCACAGCATTAGTTCTAGGTCATAAGGCAGTAAGTGGCAGGGACTCCACATAATAAACACACGTCTACGGGGAGGGATGCACGAGAGAACCTCTGTGAGGAGGTCAGAGGATCCTTGTCTCCAAGAGCAACCCCCAGCCCAGCAAGTTTAACCCTGGGGACATTCAAGAAAAAGCAAACATCAGTTCTGCACAATTGGGCCCTAACAATATTCAGATCAACCCAGGGGAGGGTTGGTATCCCGGTGAGATGAGAGAAAAGAATATATGGTTTGCCAGGCTCTGTGTCTCTCTCCCTCTGCTTCACCCCCTCCCCACTTCACCAGCCCAGCTTCAGACCCCCCAGGGGGACAGAAAAGCTGAAAAATAACATAAGCATATCTCTCTGGTTATAAAGGTACAAAACGTATAAAAGTCCTTCCTTCTGTTCCCCGCCCACACCTGTCCCACGCATGCTCACAGATGCGCATGGACCCTCAGCCCTGCTGCCATAGGGAGAGCTGGTGACAGGGCACTGCCTGGGGATCAGCCCCTGGTTCCTGGAGTCTCTTCCATCAACCCAAATCCTCCGTGGCCCTTGGCTCTTCCTCACCTGCACCATCTGCTCCTCAGGAGTGACCTTCACTTCTAGGAACTCTGCAGGGATGAATGTGGAAAGCAAAGGTCATTGCTGAGAGGACTCATGTGGTTCTGACCTTCCCCACTGCGGACCTAACTAACCTGGCCTGCCTGACCTCTGGCCTCTCTGCTCCTCTGTTTCAGGGTGCTGTCAGCCCCTCTGTGCCCACCCCCAGGTTCTCAGGGCCACACCCATACTGGACCTCCAGACTCATCAGCAAGAACCCTCCCACTGGCCACCTAGGTCTTTTCTCCAAGCATATAGCAAATACATACTATGTACAGATACTGTTAAGCACTTAACGATGCAGTTATGGTTGTTAAGTGCCATCAAGTTGGTTCCAACTCATAGCGACCCTGTATAGGGTTTCCAAGGAGCGACTGACAGGTGAGTTTGAACCACCTGTGGCTGTGGGTTAATGCGCTAGATTGTAAAGTCAGTTTGAACTGCAAGGTTGGTGGTTCAAGCTCATCAGTCGCTCCTTGGAAACCCTTTAGAGGGTCGCTATGGGTTGGAACCGACTCGAAGGCATTTAACAACCACCACCACCCTGTGGTTCAAACTGACCATGCAGTCCAGTGCTTATTCTACAATGCCATATCAGGTCTGTTGTTGTTGTTGTTGTTAAGTGCCGTGGAGTCGGTTCCGACTCATAGCGACCCTGCACAGGGTTTCCGAGGCTGTAAATCTTTACGGGAGCAGAACGCCTCCTCTTTCTCCCGCGGAACCGCTGGTAGTTTCGAACTGCTGACCTTGCGGTTCACAGCCCGATTCGTAACCACTACGCTACCAGATCAGGTCTATCAGGTCTAATGCCTCATAAATCTCCAAGTTGATTACAGACCATTTTATAGCTAAGGAAACAGGGAAAGAGAAGACATGTAATCTGCCCAAAGTCACACAGCTAGAGAAGTGAGAGGCAGAACTCAAACTCAGACCATGTGACTCCAGAGCCCAAACCCCTGCCCAGCACACTAAGTCCACCTCCAACACAGCCAAGCAGAAGTTCCAGCTTGTGGGCCAGCTTCCTTTCATCCCTAGTTTCTAAAACTTCAGAACTTGCCCATCATCCTTTTGTCCTACACTTATCCTGGGTCCTGCTCAGGTTTTATTGGCTTCCCCTATCCCCTCCATGAGGTCCCCTCCCCAAGACGTCATTTCTCAACCATATAGATCCCCACAGTCTGACCCAGCTTGTTCCTCCTTTTTGAAACTCACTCTCCTTTTGGCTTCCAAGACCTGACAACTCCTCCCTCCTAGATCCTATCATTTCTTCTCTGACTCTTTAGACAGTGGTGTGCTTTGCTTCCCTGGGGTATTCTTGAAGACATTCTTTCCTTTGTATCCAGCTGCTTACTGGATATAGCTGCCCAGAGGTACCCATAGACACTTAAGAGGTACCAAGCCCCAACTCAACTCCTGGGTGCCCCACCTCACAATACCCACAGACAGGAAAAACTTATTGACTAAATAAATGAATGAATGATTTACCTTCTGTCAAAGTTGAGCTCTTCAGCCTGGCATATAAGGCATATAAGGCACTCATATCTTAGTACCACTTCTGGCACATACCCAAGCCAAGCCTTCCTGCCCCTGACATGTATTAGGCTTCCTCCTACTGGGCTTCAGCACCTTTCCTTCTCCTCCAATAGCTTTGTAAGGGTCTTATCTCTCTTCCTTAGTGTAAGAGGTCTAGCAAGTTCCTGCTGGTTATGTCCCCATTCCCTGCCAGATTTCAGACCCCAACCTTGGTTCCCTGAACCTGGGGAGCTCACACTTGTCTGCCAACCTTCACTTGCCCTGTGTAGAACATAGAGCAGGCTACATGAGAGGCTGCCCGGAACATAAGGTTACCAGCAGGTTGTAGGACCCTGCTTACTCTGAGTCCGGTGACAGCTCCGAGATGCTATGGGATGTGGCAGAGCGTGGTGTGGAAGGCCCAAGAGCTGAAGCAGTAGCAGAAGGCGTGGCAGTGGTATGGGGGCCCGAGGGTGTGCTTGAGGACTGCACAGAAGAGGAGAGGGCTGAGGAGTTGAAGGAGGCAAGGATGGAAGAGAGAATGTCCAGCTGCTCTGTGGAAGGGCCATGGCTGGGGCCAGAGGCTGGGTCCTCCCTCGCTCGGAGCAGTTGTGGGGGTGGCCCGAGACCTTCCCGTGAAGGATGCCGGCTAGGCACCTGGTCTAACTGTTCCCGTGAGTTTGATCTCCTGGACAGAGAGTCTAGGGGTCGGGATGGCAAAAGGGGATCCCTTGACAGTTGCCGTTGGGGTGACAAGGGCAGAGGTGGAGGCTGTAGGTCAAGGTCCCTGGCACCACGAGGTGGGGGCAGTGTGCTCAACCACTCTCGGGGCGCTCCTAGGTCCAGTGCATCCCGTGACCCAAAGCGTCCAGCCATGGCACCAGGGTAGTCTCGAGGTGGCTGTCTCCGAGGCAAGGTGCTGCCCCGGTCCCTGGGCTCCAAGCGGCCTGGCACAGCGTGCACAGCGTCCAGGTGCTCCTGGGAACCTGGCCGGCTCAGGGGACGCAGAATGGGAGCAGGGGCCTCCTCCAGTCGTTCACGGCTCAGTTGCCGCCGGAGGAGCAAATCCAACTGTTCTCGGGATGAGTAGCGGCTGGCGGGCTGTGAAAGGCTGCCTGTGCCTCCGCTAGCACAGATTCGCCCGTAGGAGGCAGCTGGCACAGCGCGGTGGCCCAAGGTGGCTGCCCGGCACCAGGAGAGCTCCGGGATACCCCGGGTCTGTGGAACCAGCGGGTACTGCAGCGGGTTCTTCAGGATGCCTGTGGGAGGAACAAGTGTTGATGGAATTCCCTAGGTCTAGGAGCTTTGGTAGCGTAGTGGCTACGAATCGGGCTGCGAACCATAAGGTCAGCAGTTCGAAACTACCAGCTGCTCCGCGGGAGAAAGATGAGGCTCTCTACTCCCGTAAGGATTTACACCCTCGGAAATCCTGTACAGGGTCGCTATGGGTCGGAACCGACTCGAAGGCACTTAACAACAACAAAGGAAGCCAGTGGCCCAGGGATGGAGGCAGAAACTTCCAAGGGAGGGGCAGAGAACAGGAAAAGATCAGAGCTGCGATGCAGGAACCTCCCTGGTCAGGACAAGGACAGATGCTATAGTGCAAGGGTAGTATCAATATTCACCCTGAAGTCAGAACAGAGCAGCCTCCAGGTCCTAGCAATGCAGACTGAGGTAAGAGGGGCAAGAATGCCCCAAGTGGGGGCAGAAACCTTCAGTTGGGGGCAGGGGCAGCCTTTAGGGGGTCCCTGTATGGCCAGGTAGGGGCAGAAACCTTCCAGATCAGAACAGAGGCTCTAGGACCTGGGTGGGGGCAGCAGCTTCCAGAGCCCCTCACAGTGCAGGCCAGGGCACAGGGGTAAGAAAGAACCTTCCAGGTCAGGACAGAAGTCCAAGGAGACCTGTAAAGCAGGGTAAAGGGCCAGAAGTCCCAGATCAGAGCAGGGTGGATGAAACCCCTTGCCATCAAATCGATTCTGACTCATAGCAACCATACAGGACACCAAAGCGATCATTTTTTTCAGAAGCAGACTACCACATTTTTCTCCTTTGGAGTACCTGGTGGAGTCAAACCACCAACCTTTTGATTAGCAGCCAAGTACTTAACCACTGTGCCACCAGAGCTCCTTGCCATCTAGGATTCAGAACCAGAAACCACACCTACTGCTATAACTGCTATAGAATTGATTTCAATTCAGCAAACCTACGTAAGGTTTCCAAGGCTATAAACCTTCACAAAACTGAAAGCCTCGTCTTTCTCCCTTGGCGCAACTGGTGGATTCCAACTGCTGACCTTGTGATGAGCAGCCCAACATATAACCCATTACACCACTAGTGGAGTCCTGGTGTGGCGCTATAGGTAAGCACTGGACTGCTAACCACAAGGTTGGTGGTTCAAACCCACCAGCCACTCTTTGAAAATTCTATACAGGGTCACTATGAGTTGGCACTGACTCAACAGCACTGAATGACGAATGATAACACCATTACTGCTCCTTACACAGCCCAGGATTAGGAGGCAGAAGGTTCCTGGGTCAGGGCATGAGTGGTACCCAGGGTTGATACCTTTCCTCTGGCGCTGGGCCCGACCCAGGGTGGTTTCATCCCCACTGGTCAGGGCCAGTTCAGGCTGGTTGTTATTGGCTGCATCCTTGCTAGTGTCCAGCCCCAGGCGCCGCTCGGAGCCCCAGGTCTGCAAGGCACAAGGGGCTGCCTCACACTCCCCTAGTGCTGGCCAGTAAGACAGGAGGTCGTTGCCATCCACATCTGTGAAGTCAAGGCAAGTTATAGGAATCTCTGGGTTGACCCCAATGACCCAAGACCCTGACTCAGTGACCCCTGACCCAAATTCTCTTTGAAGCCCTAGCAGTTCCCACTGAGCAGACAGAGGAGTTAGAAGGTATTTCCTGAGAGACTAACGGAACCAGCAGGGAGAGGGTTACTGATAAACCCACACACACACACCTTGGGCTGGAGGTGACAGAGACCAGGAATGGGAGACCTGATGGCTTAGGATGTCAGGAAGTCCAAGCTGAACCCCAGTCCTCAGGGAAAACGAGGTGATGGAGGGCAGACATGTCACCCTACACCATCCCTGACTCATTACCCTGTTACCCACATAGTTACTGTCTCGAGCCAGCAGGGTGTGTGGCTCATAGGCTGGATGGGGAAAAGTGCATGGTGTTCCCAACAGTGAATCAGAATAAGGCCCCCAGAGGTTCCCAGTAGGTCAGACCCAGACATCCTCAGGGGGCCAGCAGAGTTCCAGAGCCACATGGGCTCCCATCACCTTTGGGGTGGGTGAGGAGCCTCTCACTCTGGGCTGCACGGCGGAGTGGACGCTGGAAACGGCCCCGTGTCCGGCCATTGTCCTCACTCTCTGAAGATGGGATGGACAGACTCCTTTCTTCCTCCAAGGACAGGTCACTATCTGAATCTGAGTCTACGCCTGGAGTTAGGAAGGTCAGAAGAAGGAGGGTTCAACAGTAGCTTGGGAAGGACTTGCAGGACTTGAAGGGTGAGGAAACAGCCTGGGGTGGGGAGATGGGAGCCTGCAATGGGGGGAGGAGTGGAGGGGCTGGGATTTATTGGAGTAGGCTGGGTCAGGAGTGGATCTGGGGAACATGAGCTAATTGAGTGGCTGGCTCCTGGGACAATGTCCCAGGGAGAGCTCCCCCCACCTCCATCAGCCACTGCTCCAGTTTGGGGTAGAAGAAAGGGAGATATGACGGTGCTCCCTCCCCTGTGTCCCTCCTCCCTGATCCAAGCCCCCACCTCCACCAGCATCTCGATGGAACATGGCCACATCCAGGTCAGTGGGGCCAGTGTGGGCCTGGAGGCTGTGGTCAGTGTGGTCAGCAGCTGAGCCATGTCGAACCAGGGCATTGTCCCTAGAAATGCAGGTGACCCCATCAAAGAGGGTTCTTTGGAGGCTGAATGTCTGAGTGCACAGCCAGCTGCAAGTGTGCCCCCCTAATTGAGTGGCAGGAGGAGCTAAGGTGCAGGCAGCAGCAGGGGTCCACATTTCTGGCACAAGGAGCCAGAAAGTCAAGATGATAGATCCACCAGTCTGAGGACCTTGTGATGCTAACTGCTTGAAATATAGAACTACTGGCTGGACAGAGGTTCAGGCCCTACCTCCCCAAGAGAGAAAATGAGCAGGCCCTGGCCCTGATTTATTTCCCCTTGGGTGGGGATAACAGAGACCTTGAGATAGGAAGAAGACTCAGCTCAGCCCTGAGTATTTGGTTGGCCCAGGTATGTTCTCCCCAGACCCTGGGGACACACAACACAGACTCTCCCACTGACAAACCTGCTTCATCTCCCATGTCTCCTACCTCAGCAAATGCCACCTCCCACTCAGTGCCACAGTCACCGGTGACCATCACCCATTCCTGTTGACCCTGCCCTGGCCTAGTGTCCCCCTCAAGAGGAGGTTCCTCTACACACCTGAGGTAGCTACGGCCCCGCTGGCTGTCTTGGTCCTGGGTCCGGCCGGAGCGGGCACTGCTGACTGAGGAGACAGTGGAGGCGCCGAGAGTGATGCGGATAAGGCCACTCTCCTCAAAGAGGGCCGTGTTGTTGTAGGCCCCAGGCCCCTGGGGATGGGGTGGGGATAAAAGTGTGAGCTAGTCCTGAAGGGGCTGGGTGTGATGGCCTCTCAGAGGTCCCCTCCAGGTCCCCAGCCCTGGCAGCCCCTCACCGTCCCAGGTGTAGCCCTCGCCTCCTCAGGGGCTGCCTTCCTGCCCAGGCAGGCTGGTGTCCAGGCAGCCCGAGCATCTGCATTCAGGACACAGAAGAGCAGCAGCACTGCCAGGCCCTGTGGGTCAGCAAGGGTCAGTACAAGATCAGAAAAGGGTAAGAGAAGGTCAGGAGAGGGTCACTAGGTATCAGTGAGGGGTGGGTGTAAGCCACTGTGGGTCAATCAGTAGGGAATCCAAGGGAGTTCAGTAAAGGGGACAGGGAACATCAGCAGGGACACTGGGAGGGTAGTGTGGCCGAGTGGCCAGAGTCAGTGAAGATCAGAATTATGGACTGAACTGTGTCCTCCCTCAAAATATGACGGCACTTAACAACAACACCGAATACCTGTGAATGGAGACCTGGTGTGGTGCTGTAGGATAGGCACTGGGCTGCTAACCGCATGGTTGAAGGTTCAAACCTACCATAAGCACCTCAGAAACTCTGATCAGTGTCCCTAATCAGTGTGATGGCACTGTGTTACAACAGTAACACAGCTGTGAATGTAATTCCATTTGGGAACAAGCATTTCTTTGTTATGTTAATGAAGATATTAATGTGGGATATGTCTTAAACGTAATGACTTTTGAGATATAAAAAGAGCAGATGAGCTAAAGAGAGAAGCAAGCAGAAATGAGGGAAAGTTAGATGCCAGGTGGAGACCTTCAAGGAACTGAGGAACTCCGGGGCTAGGGCTGAGGCAAGGACTTCCCCCAGAATGGACAGAAAGGCCCTGAAATTGGGTTTCTATCCTGGTGTGGTGCTGTGGGTGCACTGGACTGAGAGGTCTGTTTGAACTACAAAGTCAGCAGTTCACACTCACCAGTCACTCCTTGGAAACCTTATACAGGGTCTCTATGAGTCAGAACTGACTCAACCGCACTTAACAACAATGATAACTACAATCTCCTCAACTGTGAGATAGCCCTGGTGTGGCACTGTAGGATAAGCACTGGACTGAAAATTACAAGGTCGGCAGTTCAAACCCACCAGCCATTCCTGGGAACTCAGCAACCCTGTTTAGGGTTTCCGAGGCTGTACATCTTTGCAGAACAGAGTTTCATTGTTCTCCCATGGAGCAACTGGTGTGCAATCCCGTGCTTATCCTCTAGAGCCACCATGCTGGGTTGCTATGAGTCCGAACCAACTCAAGTGCACACAACAAACTATGAGAAAATAAATTTCTGTTCATTAAAGTCCCCCCTTCTGGTGTTTCTGTTACAGTCATACTCGATAAATGAGACAAATAGTATCAGTAAGGGGCCAAGTGCTTCATTACTAGTGAAAGTCAACCCAAGGTCAGCACCTAGCCTGAGACTGGAGTATATGAGAAGTGCCAAAGTTACCTGGAGGCCACAGAGTCCTGCATGGAGGTAGTGGAAGGTCAGGATGCTGTGGTTGACCGCCAGGAGGCCAAAGAGCCAGGAGGCGCTGACTAGCAGAAGTAGCAGGAAGGAGCTGCGAAGGGTCCCACTGTGAGGACATGGAGGCAGGGGGAGACACAGGAGGACACACAGGGTCACACAACAGACATACAGGGGACCAGGGAGGACATACAAGAGTCATTTGGGGACATGGAAGATAGGAACTAATATGGGAACATGGGGAGGTCTCAGGAGGACACTAGGTCATACAAAGAACCAAGAGTATCAGGAAGGGATATGGAAGGATCACACAGGAGCATGGGGAACATGAGAGAAGGCATGGAACATGAGGGACAGGGAGCAAAATCAGCCACCCAGGACATGGGAGACACTGAGGAGACCCAGGAGAAGGAGAGACATCAGGGTGAAAGCACAGGCAGGGTCAGAGTATGGCACGCATAGTAGAGAGGAATTGCAGGCCAAGGTGGGTGTGACTTTATCCCCCGATCCAAAATGTGGGGCCCAGCCTGCACCAGGGGTACTCTGAGGACTCCAGATTCTACCCAGAGGCGGCTGCCATCCTGAGAGACCCCCTCCACCACCAGCCAGCCAACTCACAGCACAGAGGTCTTCTTGGCCTCCCTCTGCCCCGTGGAGCAAGATGTGCGGGCAGCGAGGAGAAACATAGTCCCATTCATCTGGACAGAGAGACAGAGTCGTGAGGAACTCACACACATACAAAAAGAGATCAGAAACACAGCTGAAGAGGGGCTTAGGATCACAGAAGAAGTCAGAGAGAGGGAAGTAGAGAAGGACTGTGACACTGAGCAATGGAGAGTCTCAGAGTTAGGCAGGGAAGGTGTCAAATCTCTGTCTCCACACCCCCATCTCCGTGCTAGTAGGGACAGAGAACAGAAGTGGACGTTGAGCCCAGGAAACCTGTAGACTGCCAGCTAGCACCCCTCAGGGTGTCTCATGGCACCACCACACCTGTCGCCATGAGAAAAACACATGGGTAGTGCCAAGTTCAGAGGACTCACCAGGATGACTAGGATGACAGGGCCGGCAAAGCTCCAGATGAGGGGTTCATGGACAGAGATCCAGCAGAATTCAGGGTTCCCATAGCCCTCAGGGTCCAGGCCAACAGCAAGGCCTGGGAGGAGGGACAAGGGGAGGTTCAAGGGTATGTTTTCAGTTTCTGAGTATCCATGGGTGGGGATAAGCTTGGGGTGAAGGTAGAGAAGGCTCCTCCCCTGACTAGATGACATGGAAGGAGGGCTAAAGTTGGAGACACGATCAAGATTAGGGGACAGGGTCAGAGCTCAGACCCATGTGATGGATGGAGCCCTGGGTGGCCCAGTGGGCGGGACCCTCACCCAGCAGCACAGCAGGAACACCCCAGCCCAGGGCGTGGTAGAAGCGCATGGCGCCGCGGTCCACGTTGCGTGGCTCAACCTGCATGCGGTAGAGGTGCAGTCCCTGCACAAGGAGCCAGGCAAATGTGCTGAGGAAGAAGTAGTGCAGGAGGATGGCGACAGCAGTGCATACCAGCTGGGGACAGGGGCAGGGCGTCAGGACCTCTCCTGTCCAGCGCCACCTCTGATCCCCATCCCAGGCATCTGCTTCCCACTGCTGACCTGTAAACTCCCATATCCTGCCTTAAAGTCTGGTCCCAATCCAAGCATCCCTGACTTCTGTCTGTTTTAACCCCAGGTCCTCCTGGGGCCAAGTGGAGCCACCTGACCCTGACCATAACCCTGCACCTGATTTTGGGTCCTGTGGATCCCCAACAGGAAGAAGAGCTCTGCCACGCCCAAGGCAGCTGCCACATTGGCGTGGATGCCACGAACATTGGACTTGAGGCTGCGCAGGCTCAGCAGGATGGCTGCAGTCAGCAGCAGTGTAGCCACAGACGCCGCCATGACTACATGCGTGAACACAGCCAGCAGCTCCAGGTCACCCTCCAGGCGCTGTGGGGGAGGGGGTGGATGGTCAGTGGTGTTGGGCAGTCTTCCCTGCCCCCTTGGACCTTCACCCCCAGAGGACTCTAAACATAGCCCCACCTCACGGGGGGAGGCATCCATGAGGACACCAAAGGTACCGGTCCGACTGCACCGACATCGAGCATGGGATCCATTCCTGTGTACCAGCTCACAGTCCCGTGCAGTCCACATGCCTCGCTGCTCCATCCTGTGGCCACAGAGACGTTAGACCTACTGTCCCTTCTGGGGCATGCCCACTGCCAGTCGGGGTTTGGGAAAGCCTGAGTGTGCCTGAGTGGGAGAGCAGCAACTCTCATGTGTCCAGTTACACAAGGACATCAGTGGGGGCCCGGGCCTCCCAGGGACTAACAAGGGCACCAAAGATTTCTGAAATGGGAGTCCTCACGGGCCAGGTGGGTCCCACTGCACGCAGATCGCCTTGCTCCGATTGGCTGTCTGTAGCAGGCGGAACTCGAGGTTGATGGGAGACTCCAGGAGACCCCTTAGGAAGTTGCGCCCGTGGAACACAGCCACACTGACCACCGGGGAGTTCATGACAGGGTTCTGGGGGAGCCTGAAGAGACACCCCACCTGGACTTGGACACAGCTGGTCTTCCCAAGTTCTGACCACCTACCCCACCCAGGCCTCATGCTTATCCCCCCAGAATGCTGCCCTCTGAGAACCCCTCCAGCCTCAGTTCAGCAAGGCTGACTCCAGACCAGGGGTCTAGCACCTAGAGTTCTGCAAAAATGGTGGATTCCCTACAGCAACAGAGCCTCTGGACTAAGTGGCCAGACTAGAATCTGAGGTCTGAGCAGCTCTAGATGATTTGTCTCTTAACTGTTCTGCCTATCCCCATCTGATTGCTATCAGTCTCCATCAGTCAGATTGCCTATCTGCACCTGGTTCCTGTACCTCTCCTGTGTGTGACTGCCCCCACCTATGCCTCCACGTGTCAGCCTGCAGTTCTACCACTTCGCACAACTCCAGGGAACAGGATGCACACAGCACCCAGCAAGCCGTGGTTCCCTGGAGCATTTCTGCATAGCTAGGAACCAGTTCATCTGTCCTCCCAAAACAGGGGTGCTGGAAAAGGTAAATAGCTCATAGGAAGAACTCAGGGATCACAAGTCTGGGAGTAGCCCCATCTGTGGTACCTGGCACCGCGGCGTTCGGCCTGGAACTGAGCAGGGAGCAGTCCCCCTAAGGTGCGGTACACAAGGAGGATGACAATGGAGATTCTGGGCTCCGGCTCGGGCTCCAGGAGGCCTGGTGGGGGCGTCACACTTGCAATGGTGGCGTTTTCTGTGCTGCTGCTGCTGGAGGGTAGAACTGCTAGGGGAGAAGGAGGAGCCACTGTCAGTGACCTCTGACCCTGAGCACCCACCAACCCAGCTCTGAACAAGCCTCACAGTCTCTTTCTGCTAGGTCCAGGGCTGGGGCTGTGTGGGAAGCAGAAGCGCCATTGAGGGGACATGGGCTTCCTAGGGCTGACAGGGGTCATTTGGGATGATGACAGGTGAGGCCTGTAGGAAGGGATAGAGGGTCTCACAGGGAGTGTGACATGGGGAGATTTGACAAGGGGAGAATTGTCGAGAGGGCAATGTTGTGTCTGGTTTAAAAGGGACAGAGGGACAGGAGCTGGCCCAAAGATCACGCCAGGACTCGTACCTTCAGGTGGGAACAGCCGTGGGGACTGGGAAGGCAGTAGCACGTGGGTATGAGGGTCCCAGGCATCCTGGCCCCGGAACAGGTTGCTGTGGTAGCGGGGGTAGCGACGGACCCCCCGGGTTGGACTAGGGTGCTCCATACGGTCGATGCTGAGCACTACCCAGGAGGAAGAAGGGTGAGACCCCCCAGGACCCCCTCGCAGTGTCAGGAGTCATGCACCTTTCTCCCCCTATACTGTACCCACGTCCCACCATCCACAGCTTCCTCACCACAAGCACAGAACCAGTCCTTGCAAAGCACTGAAGGCAGTAGCCCAGCCTCCTGCCCACCCTGCATCTATAGTCCCCAGCCTCTTGACCCTCCAGGTCCCTACCCTTTTACAGCCCAGTGCCCTGCCCCACCCCACCCGCCACGCACTGATATTGGGTGTCACCAGCCCCACGGGATTCAGGTACGTGAGTTCCATATTCCTGGCGAGTGTGGCTGCATACTCCTCCAGATGCTGTACCAGCCCTGCGCTGCCTGGGGAGCCCCCAGGGGTCCGCTGCCCCAGCGCTGCCCATAAGTCCCCTGTCTCTGGCGCAAGCAGTGCAGAGCCAGCCCATAGCAGATTCTGGAGGAGGGAGATGGAGTTGGGCTGTAGGTGGGGAGGACTGTAAGACGGGATAGGGCAGCCTGAGGGGTCTGGCCAGGTGTTCAAAGGGACCCTACCAAGCAAGAGGCAGTGCATGAGGGGACAGGGAAGAGGGGAAGCTTGGAGAGATGGCTGAGCTCGAACTGGGGGACCAGGGAGCCCGGAGACATGGAGATTGCAGACCAGGGTCAGGGTGCAACCCCACCTCGTTAAAGTGCGCGTCCTGTGTGGCTGTCAGTCCAAAGCCCTGCTGTTGGCTCTCAAAGGCCAGCAGGTGGGCCAGCAGACGGGCTGTGACTCGGACATCCTGGCTAAAGTAATAGTCAGTGTGCCGGGTCACTTCCCGTAGCTGGTGAGCCAGCTTCTTGGCCTCCACGGTATCCAGCACTGTCTTATTCAGCTCTAAGCCATCCAGCTGTTGGGACAAGGATGGGGGTTGCCACTCAAGAGTTCATCAGGCTCTTGACAGGGGGAAGCCAAGGACTGGGGGATGGTATTTGGGGTCCACCACAAGTCTCGGGGAGCTGGGACCTACTACCTGAGAGCTATAGAGGAGACTTGGGTGGACTCTCACCAGAAGGCTGAGTTCTCGGAAGGCAGGGGAGGTGCAGTTGAAGAGGTCGGGCTCCAACCAGCCCTGGTCCTCATCACACAGCCGCACAGCAGCACCTGGGGGCAGGCAACTCCTGGTGAGGCTTGAGGCCCAGGCATCTCCACTGAAGAGCTGACCACCCTCCCTTGTCCTAGAAGCAACCCTGGGGCAGAGGCCAAAGCAATAGGCATCTGTAGAAACACCCCTGGATGTAGCAGCGCCCAGCTGTTTGCCACTCAATCCCTGACTGGCCTGTGGACCGTCCTGAACCAGCCACATAAAGCAGAGCACAAGAGCAGGGTCATAAACACACACACACACTGACGTGTGGCCCAGAATAAGTACTTATGCTCTCACCCACAGACATGCTGACTCAGAAAAGGTCTTTCAGGAATATTCCATGACTAAAATGTGTGTTTGTGTGCGTGTTTGTTTCATGAAAGGTTTTATGCCCCCCCCCCACCCCTTTGTTCGCTGCTGTTGTTAAGTGGCGTTGAGTCAGTTCCAACCCATAGTGACCCTGTATAGGGTTTCCGAGGAGCGGCTGATGAGCTTGAACCACTGACCTTGTTGTTCAAACCGATCTTGCAGTCCAGTGCATTAACCTGCAGTGCCACACCTACCCCCACCTACCCTCTTTTGCTATCATCTCTCCCCCTTATCTGGAGCTTGGGATAGGGGGCTGAATGGAGTTCACGGTTATCAGCAAGAGGGACCCTGATCTAAACAGAGAACCTTCCCCATCCCCAACAGACAGACTCGTGCACAGGCACAGAAAAACACACACATGAGCATGCACACACAGCCAATTTTTGTCCAGCCACTGCAGAAACCACAAGCAGCGGGGAGGGCCCTGCAGGGGGCTCAGGCTTGGGGAGGAGTCTGTCAGGTCCTGAGACAGAGGTCAGGAACCTGTCATGACCTCACGCACTACACAGAAGCTAGCAGGGATCTCAAGAAGTGGGGAGAAGCCTGTAAGAACCTTTAGAACTAGGGAGAAGTCTGCAATGATCTCAGGAAGTGAGAAGGGGTCTGCAAGAACTTCAGGCAATGCAGAGGGGTCTCTAAAGACCTCAGGCATCAAGGAAGGGTCTCTGGGGACTGTCAGGCATTTCAGGCAGTTGGGAGAAGCTTTTGGAGACCTCAGGCAGTGGGGAGTGGCCTGCAGGGACCTCAAGCAATGAAGAAGGATCTACAGAGACCTCAAACAGCAGGAAGGATCTGCAAAAGCTCTGGCAATGCGAGGGGCAGCGCACCTGAGCAAACACGTACCCCTTACCTGTACCCCGCAATCCTGCCCAGAAGCCAAGAGAAACAGATGGAGGCTCAGTGAGGGTGTGGGGAGGGGCCCAGAGCCCTGAGGAGGTCAGCAAATGTGAGTGGCCCCTGATGACCCTCACCCAACTCCCACCTCTTTGCAGGAACAAAGCGACCCAGCTCAAGAAAAGAGGTAGTTCCAGCTGTCAGAGAATAGGCCTACCCCCACCCTCAGTGATGTCTCTGCACCCCACATACTCACCCAGGGCCCCCCGGGGACAGGACACTGTGGCTAAGACACCAAACTTGGTCTGGGGCCACCACACACCAGCTCTCAGGGACTTGGGACATGCATCATAGAGCACTGGGGAAAGAGGAGGCACTGAGCCAGGTGGTCACTGATAGGCACACCCACTGCCCTTCCTCCCCTTCTCCCAGGCCTGCTGGCCTCACAGGAGCTGGTCTGCTATGAAGTAAGGTCAGTCCCATTCTGTGACAGATCAGTCAGGTACTTGGGACAAATATGGGGCTCCTTGGGTATAAGTAGTCTCCCTCAGAAGAAGCCTCCCATAGCTCCTTCCTCAAAGAGCCAAGCATTACACTGACACATGCTGGGGCCAGCTCACCCTGGCAGCCGCTGGCTGTCACCTCTGCAAAAGGGCTGTCACAGCTGTTGCACTGGCGGCCAAGGGCTCCTGGGCGACAGGGACACTGCCCACTGTCCGGTGCACAGGAGCGCGAGGTGGAGCCCACTGGGTAGCAGTCACATGGGAGGCATGAATCACTGCCCCGAGGTTGATAGTGAAACTCCTGTTTGAGGATGAGTCAGGGGTATCGGATCAGGACTTGGGGAATGAGTGAGTCCAGGAACAGGGTCAAGAAAGTCATGCTCATAGGCCAGAGGAAACAGTGGGCCTTGGATGAAAAAGGAAGGGGTCAAAGTCCAGGATGAATAATGACAATAAGGGGTAAGGAGTCAAGGTTAAGGCCCAAATTGGGTGGCAGAGGTCATTGAACTGAACAAGAATCACAGATCATGTCCAGGGAAGGGTTAAAAGGTCAGAGGTCAGGGGCAAGACACACCTTACAGTGACACTGTCCATCTGTCTTGTTGCAGTTGGGGTCAAAGCCCTTGTGAACATCGCAGTTGCAGGGGCCACATGTTGGGCTCCCCCACCAGCCCTTAGGGCACTGCTGGTCCATCCTGGAGGTGGACAGCCAAGTGAGATATCTTCATATCTTAGTGATACCGTCCCTCAGCCAGGTCTTTCTATCTTTTCAGCCCCTAGTTCCTCACCTGTGTTCACAATGGTGCCCAAAGTAGCCACCTGCACAATCACAGGTATAGCCATGGAGAGCTCCTGGAAGGTGCCGGCATGACCCCTGGTTCTGGCAGGGGTTCAAGAGACAGGCATCCACACAGCCTGGGCCATAATAACCTGCAAGTTGGGTCAGGGAGCTAAAGACACGAGCCACAGAGCATGGAAGGGAGCAGACATCAGTTCCCACCTCCTCCATTTTTCCCACCTCACCAAGTTTCCCAGTCCTCACCATGAGCCCCTGGCTCCTGCCCAGATCACCCTTCCCTGACCCTCTCAAGGCCCCACCTGGCCAGCAGGTGCAGGAAAAGGTCTGCCAGAGGTCACGACAGTCAGCGTGGGGTGGGCAGGGTCCAGATGCACAAGCATTTGTCACAACACAGCCAGGTTCCACATTGATTTGGTGACTGGGGGGAAGCAGGGCTGGGGACCCTGAGGGCGTAGAGCCGAGCCATACCCCCTATGGACATAGCCAGCAAGGGGTAAGGCTCACATCAAGGCACCTCAGTCCCAAATCCCACAGAGACAGCCTGGTATGATGCCCCCTAATGTGCAGGTTTCCCCAGAACCCAAGAAGTCCCCCAGGCCCTGACCCTGACACCCCCAATTCAATCCCACTGTGGGACCCCTAATTGTACTGTTCCCAAAACAGAGCCCTAATGACCCTTAATAATCTAACCTAGACTCTGACCTCCAATACCACAGAAAGACTATCCCCACCCATAACAACCCTCGCTTGAATGTAGCTTTTTCAGGTCCCAAGAAGCCCCTAATCTCACACTCCTGACCCTAATTCCCCCGCATCATACTCCCATGCTGACCCCCACCTGAATACAGCCAATGAGACCCTTCGGAAGCTTCTCCTCACTGCTGGGGGGCAGTCCTCCCACGTGGAGTCGCTTTACCTTCAGGCCCTGTAGTTCACTCCCCACCACCATGGTGTCCTGGGGGAGGGCACAGGTCAGCACTATGTGTTGGAGTCTCTGATCAATCCCTGCCTTGTCCTAGGCTTAGACATGACCTTGTTCTAGCATAGATTTCAATCCAGAGCTGGATCCAGAATGGATCTTGAAATTCTATGATGCTAACTCAGGGAGCAGAGACTAAAGAGGGCTTCCAAGAGTCGGGCAAAGTGATGCCTGCATAGGCACCCCAAGTCAGGACAGAAATCTGGGAGACCTCCCTTGTGTTAGGGGTATTTGACAATGGACCAGCCTGGCTGGTGAGGGGGATTCAGAACAGGTATATAAGGAAGAGGCCTTGGGGAGAACATCAGTGGGGGGGAGATGAGAGGAACTGGACTAGAGGTGAGGTCAAATAACATGGGTCTGGCTGGAAAGCTGTGAACAGAACACCCCAGGGTCAGAGGTCAGACCTGGAAAAGGCTAAAATCCAGTGACACCATGAGGACATGATGACCCCGCCGGCCACCTGGTTCTTCCTGCAACTCCAGCCGCAGATCATGCCATCGGCCATCACTGACAGTCACCTGGTCTAGGAGGAGGTGGGCAGCACGACCTGAACCCCTGGTCACTGTCACAGACAGCAACCCTCGATCCAGCTGCAGGTAGAGAGGCACAGCATTGAGGTAAGAACCCCAAGTTATGCTGGGGCTGGTGGTTTCAGGAGGTGAATTCAGGGTGCTAAAAGGGCAGGTATATTAGAGGTCAGAACAGTGGGGTCAAAGCTATGCTGAGTTGTGCCAGGGGATACCATGATGCTAATGGGGTTAGAGGACAAAGATCAGGCCCAGGGGTCATGGGCTGGTGCCACTGGTATAAGAGCTGTGTTAGTTAGTACACCACGCCTGCTGAGGATATCATGGTGGGGAAGAGAGTCCAGAGCAGGGTCAAGTGGGGTCAGTACACCTGGCAGAGAAGTATGCCATGTACTGGGCCTGAACACATAGAATTATTGCTGGTGAGTAAGAGATTGAGAGTTGAGGATCCAAGGAGGGATCAGGTGGGTAGACACACCTGGCAGAGGAGCGCACTGTGTGTCCCAGCCTGCACTTGCATCAGCACACCGTGTGTTGCCCGAGTCCGAAATGCGAGTCCCAGGTACCACGGTACAGACACAGTTGTGTCACTTCCAAAGTCCCAGCTCAGTGTGCCGTTGCCATGGAAATGGTAAGGATGGGTCATGGCTGAGGGAATAAGAGGAACAGGGTCACAGGCCCCACCCTAGGAACAGACCTTACCCTGAAAGCCTCTCCTGCCTTGTGTTGCCCACTCACAGAGCCGACAGTCTTTGCCACCGAAGCCCACAGGGCAGTCGCAGATGTAGCTACCCCAGCGCTCTGAGCAGAGGCCACTGTTCTTGCAAGGACTTGAATCACAAAACCGCAGTTTGGCCTGGCAGCCTGAGGGAGGAAGGTACATGGAACATATGAGAACATGGGAGGGTGAGCCTTGAGTGCTCAAGGGGGCAGAAAAGCCAAGAGAGGCCATGATATCTCAGCTCTGTGTTCTCTTAGGTGGGAAGGAGTTAGCAGGAGTTGAGTCCGGCAGAAAGATTGTGGCCTGAAGCTTGCCATCCAAGGAGCCTAGGATGAAGTCAGATCTGGGGCCATTCCATGCAGCCCTCCAACCTTTCCCTATGATGGGAACAAGGCTGTAGGTGGGGCTGGTGGTAGGTATAGGCCTACCTGCCATGGTGCCGTTGTTTGCCACAAAAGCCGCCATGTCCACCTGGCGGCCATCAATGTACAGGTCCCGCATACAGCCGATGAAGTCCTTGTGGGACACGGGGAAGTTCTCGGGGAGGTTGGGGACACCTCCCAGAAGCAGGGGGCCCGTCAGGTCCAGAGACCTGGGGGTCAGGGGTCGGGATCATTGGTGGGACTGGGGCCAAGCTAGGTTTGCTCCTGGGGGCTGTAGGAAGTGAGGGGTAGGACTCAGAGGGCATTGAGATTGAGGGAGGAATGAGGCCAGGCTGGAAAAGAGTTAGGGTATTAATTCAGTTGTAGGGACACAAGCTGGGGCTCATGATAGGTAGGTGGTCTCGGGAAACGGGAAGGAGCTAGGGTTCAGTATTAGGTAAGGAGTGAGGCATTTATTTGGTGGTTAGGGTAGAGGAGAGAAAAATGTAGTCTGTAGGGCTGTATACAAGGTTAGTAGGCTGGATGGAGATGTAGTGAATTAGGCTGGGGTGGGGAAATAAAAACTGGGGGATTGTGTGGGAGTAGAGTATGGGGTAGAATATAGGATATAGGGGGGCTAGGTGAGGTGGGCTTTGAAGGTCTTAGGAAGGGAGAAGGTCTGTGGAGGGCAAGGTGGGGAGTTGGGCAGACTGGGGTGAGGAGTGCGGTATATGAAAGTGGGGGTGGGTCTGGCAGGCAGAGGCCATGGGAACCAGGGTTGGGAGCCTCACTTCTTGGAGCTTGTCTGCACACCAGCAGCTGCACAGGAGTAGTTGCCAATCTCAGCCCCAAACTGCAGGGCCACAGTCACGTCACAGTCATCCACGCTCAGCACAGCCACCTTGTCCTTGGAGGGACCCTGAGCACCCCCCAGAGCATCTGTCCGGGGCTAAGACCCAGGCATACCAGTCAACAAGGCTCCTAGGGCCACCCCTGAGGGGCAGAACCTGGGATCCCAGCTCCCCACGCAGTCGTATGCAAAGGGTGTTACCTACCTTGTTGTAGTATCTCAGATGAACTGTGTGCCACTGCCCATCACTCAGGCCCCCTGGAACTGTGGGGCTCACCACTGTGCTGGACTCGCCTGTCAGGGGGATGTGTGTAGAGGTTGTCTCCACTGCTGACTTGTCCCCATTCTCCTAGTCATGCACCCTGGATATAGTCAGATCACTTTCCCCAGTAGTGACCGACCACTCTAGCTGGACCAGAGTGCCTTTGGACAGATGGGAAAGGTACACACACACTCCTGGAGAGATGGACCTTTCCATAGGAAGCGGTCATGAGGACAATCTATATGACTGTTGGGTGTGCTATTGTGCAAATCCATAGGGACACAGGGCCTGCGCCCCCCAGTCGTGACACACATACATGCATGGATCCACTAACCCTCCACCACACATCCCCCACGAAGGCACACACCCGTGGAATATGTAAGCCGCACTTGCCCAGCGATGAGCTCCAGGGCCAGAAAGTCATGCTTTTCATTCAGGCGTCCATTGTAGAAGAGTAGCCCTCTCGGCTGCACCGTTGCAAACCTGGGTGGAAAGCGAGTCGTGAGCCAGACACTACCTAACAACCCACCGACCCTGTGACAAGAAGGTTCACCGGGCACCTGCCCACGCTAAGGTGAAAATGAAGTGACAAGGGAAGGGTGGGACCGACAGGGGATACCAGTGCAATGCCACTCTGAGAGTTGACGTGGGGCATCAAAAGGGGCAGTTTCTTGTGGGATGTTAGGATAGGGCACTCAGGAATCTGAGTCAGGGTGGGAGCGTCAGGGCACGGGTGCTCAATGACGTGGGGCGGGCACCTACGAGAGGGACAGTGTGAGGTGGAAGCGCTGCCGTAAGCCGCGAAACATGACGAAGGAACTGGGTGGGAAGGAGCGAGCCGCCACCTCGCATCGTGGGCCCTCGAAGGCACCGCCCGCCGGGCACTGGCAACGGAAGCCACCATCAGGTGCATTGGCACAGGTGCCCCCGTTGCGGCAGATGCCAGGAACACAGCGTCCAGCTTCAGTGTCCAGCTCGCAGTCTTCTCCTAGGGGCCAAGCCAGCCGCTGTCAGAGGCAGTCACGACCATGCTCCCCACCTGCTCCAGCAGACACTGCCCTTCCAGGGCAATGCCCTCTAAGACCTCACACCTCACCCTCCATGCCTGTCCCACACACCCAAGGTCCTGCCTGGTTCATGACCCAAACCCACTGGAAACCAAACCCACTGCTTTAGAGCTGATTCTGATGGATATTGTTGTTATTGTGTACTGTTCAGTCAGTTCTGATTCATAGTGACCCTATGTAGGGTTTCTAACAGCAGCTGATAGATTTGAATTGCTTATCCTACCTCACAGCAGGTCTCAAATCCACTGCCAAAGAGCTGTGGAGTCCGGTCGACTCATAGCTACCCTGCATAGGATTTCCGAGACTTTAAATCTTTGTGGAAGCAGAAATCCTCATCTTTCTCCGATGGAGTAGCTGGTGGTCTCAAACCACCAACCTTGTGGTTTGCAGTCCAGTGCTTATACATTGTTGTTAAGTGCCATCGAGTCGGTTTCGATTCACAGCGACCCTCTATAGAGTTTCCGAGGCCTTTCAATTCAAACTGACCCTGAGGTACAGTTCTTATCCTACAGCGCCACACTAGGACCCCAGTGTTTATGAGCCATCGAGTTGGTTCCGACCCATAGCGACCCTGTATAGGGTTTCTGAGCAGCACCTGGTGAACTTGAACGGCCAACCTTGCAGTTCAAACGGCTTTGCAGTCTGGCACATTAACCCACAGAGCCTCACCAGAATTTTATATAGCGACCCTATTAAGGGGTTCCGAAACTGTCACGTGCCCACAGCCACACCTCCTTTACCGCCTCACCCGTATTTATCCAGAACCTACACACAGTCTTTTAAGTCCTGGTGTGACGCTGTAGGAATGCTAATTGCAAGGTGGGTCGCTCACATCCACCAGTGGCTCCTCAGAAACACTATACAGGGTTGCTATGAGTCGGAATCAACTCCACCGCACTTAACTAACACTCTCTGGGTCAGAATCTGCGGTATCTGGTCTAATTGCGCCCCACACCGGTCCTTGTTGGCTCAGCAGCAGCAGCAATGTCCTGGCCTTTCTCGCCTTCCTATTCTGCCCACAGGGTTTGCCTTATGCTCTTCCAGCTCCGGCCGCCCCCAATCCCGCCTCTCTCACCAGTGAACCGCGGGCGGCAGACGCAGGTGTAACCGCCCTCGCGCCGCGCGCAGGCGCCGCCATTACGGCAGGGGTTCGAGTAGCAGAGGTCGAGTTCGGTCTCGCAGAAGTCACCAGTGAAGCCGGGCGGGCAGCGACAGCGCAAGCCAGCGATGGGCTGGATGGGTCGGAAGAGCGTGGAGGCCGAGGCCAAGAAGGGCGCAGACGAGTCAAAGCGCAGCACAGACACGCATTTCATGTAGTTCTCACAGGGTTCGCGCAAGCACACATTATCATCGAAAGGCAGAACGTCTAGCAGCGAGCGGGCGGCGAGCGCGGCGCGGCGTACGTACAGCTGCTCCTGCAGCTCCTCAGAGCTGAACCAGGGCCCAGCTGCACCCACCGCGGCCCCGCGCGGCGCAAGCGCTGAGAAGCTCACGTTAAGCACGGTGCCCCCCACGTCCGTATCATTCTGGATGTTGAAAATGAAGACGTCCTCCGCAGGTGTGGCGAGAACCGCAGCCACGCCTTCGAGGAAGTGGCCCAGCAGTGGTGAAAGGAAGCGCTCCTGCCACATGTTTTCAAGACGCACTGTCAGACTGTTGGCCAGCAACTCTTCTGTGATGATGACGACACGCAGCACGCACTGCGCTGTTACACTGTGCAAGCCATCTGTGGGCAGGGCAAATACAAGGTCAGCCTGGGATTAGCAGCTGCCTCTATCTACTTGGAACACAAGAGGGCTGGGACCAGCGATTGTGCAGTCCCCCAGCACTTGTGAATCAGCAGACAGACTGCACGAAGACACAAGAGGCTCTGGTCTAATGACCATCAATTCCACAGCATCAAGGTATCACCAAGATGCTGTTTCACACCCAGGCACAAGGAGATGTCTGGATGAGATCAGCCAATTCCAACAACACTCAAAATTCAAGAAGCCACTCCCTAACAGCACAGCCACATGCAAGTTGTTCCTGTCCGCAGGTCACTCTCATTCAGGGCTATTGGCTACACATTTCTCCTACCTTCTAGCATTGCAGAGCCACTAAAATCCCTCCAAGAAACAAAAAGGATACCTGATCAGAAACCAACTACCCCCCTGTCTCTCATGGATCCCCAAACTGCTCCCCCATGACACTACGGAGTGCCTTGATCCAATGACCACTAAAGAGCTGGGTCAGCAAGCTCTCTTCCTCCAGAGGAGTCTTGGACCACAGAACTTCCTTCATCCCCCATATTCAGCAAACTGCCCACCACCTCAGACCTGGATTCTGTGATCTCAGGGGCCACTCTCAGACATGAGGGTGAGACACTTATCTGCCTTGTTTCCCTTAGGGTCAGTAAGGTTTACTGTTGAGTGGATTGAGGGATAAAGGAAGGCTGTGTCATTTCTAGCAACACCAATAGTCTTTGTTCCAGACTTGGGTAATGAGTGCCTATGAAGCTTGCCTCCCACCTCTGCAGCCTCTGGTAAGCTTTGTAAGAGTCTCTCCCCAGCCTGTCATCTTCCCATAAGGAAGGGGTTTTAAACTCCTGGAGCAGTAGAGGCAGAAAGGAACTAAATAAACCTCTGGCCATTTTCACAAAAGACAGAACCCTTTAGATCCAGCCAATTTTGGCCCACTCTACCCTGGCAGCATAGTGGTTACGAATTGGACTGCAAACCTTAAGATCAGCAGTTCGAAACTACCAGCTGCTCTGCGGGAGAAAGATGAGGCTTTCTGCTCCCATAAAGATTTACAGCCTCAGAAACACTGTACAGGGTCACTATGGGTTGGAACCGACCTGACAGCACTTAACAACAACAACCTGAAGCTGCCAGAATAAGATGCTTTCCCAGACCACCAAACTATTGACCTTCTTCTCCTATATACAGATGGGTGGAACTGTAACGGTCAAGACTGGACCAGAAGTGGCCTTCATCTGAAACAGGGATGTGATATGGGCCGACTGGCCCATGCTGGTTTTGCGTCACCCAAGGGCTTCTAGGCCTTTCTGGAATAGGGGACTGTCCCTGGAGAAGCAGGTAGTGCTTTATAGTATTTATGGAGTCTGTTTGATGCCCTAGGGGTTCTACAGAGACTTCCCAAGAATTTAAGCAGAGTCCCTGTGAGGTCTATAACGGATCCTGTGGGGGTGCAGGAACCCAGTGCTTGAAAAAAATTCTTGGAAGGTTTGGAATCCCTCTTTGGTTTGAGGTGATCTGTGGAGCCCCTGGGGCTGACAGATTGGAGTCACTGGGTTCCTTGCCTGCTCCCTGTCCCTCACCTGTGACAGTCACCAACATGGAGGCCACCAATGGGCGGTTGTTGTCCAGCTTTCGGCTGAGTCGCAGCTCCCCACTGGTCTGGTTGACCACCAGCAGCTGCAGTTCATTGCCCCGCTCGAAGGAATAGAAGAGGCGGTCGGAGACATCAGGGTCATAAGCAGGGATGCGCCCAATGATGCCTGAGGGAAAGGTATCTGAGCGGTTGGATACATAGTTGTTGAAGAGAATCTGGAAGTTATTGAGCACAGGACTGTTGTCATTCTGGTCTACCAGTCGGACGTGCACAGTGGCCCGGCTTACCAAAGGGGCAGATGTGGCCTGCACCACAATTACATATTCCTTGCGAGCCTCATAATCCAGGTCAATGAGTGCCGTCAACTCTCCAGAGAAGATGTCCATTTGGAATAGCTCGGGGATATTCCCCTCCACAATCTGGTACATGATGTGGGCGTTGGGGCCTTCGTCAGGATCAACTGCAGTGATCTGGGCCACCACTGAGCCCACAACACTGTTCTCCTTCACCCGCACCTCAAACTCCTCAGCTGGGAACACGGGTGCATTGTCGTTCACATCCTGTACTGTCACCTGTATGCTAACCGGAGTCCTCAGTGGGGGCACCCCACGGTCCACTGCATAGGCAGTCAGTTCATACACTGGTACTGCCTCCCGGTCCAACCTCCTAACTGTGCGGACAATGCCAGAGGTAGGCTCTATGGTAAAATCTCCATCCCCATCTTCCCCATTCTGGAAAGTGTACTGGACCCGGCCATTGGCATGAGCATCCCGGTCAGTGGCTGAGATCTGCAGGACACTAGTGAAAGGCGGAGCATCCTCGGAGACTAGCCCTGGGTAGTGAGAGGCCACAAACTGTGGAGCATTGTCATTAACGTCATTGACCATGACCTCCACATAAGTGGTATCTGCCTTCTGTGGGATGCCATTGTCTCGAGCTGTAATGGCCAATGTGTAGGTCACCTGGTCCTCGTAGTCCAGGGGACCCTGTAGTGTAATGGCCCCTGAGTCTGCATCAATCCGGAACTGGGGCAAGTTGTCCTCCAAGAGATAGGTAATACGAGCATTCTCACCTACATCATCATCAGAGGCACTGATGACTACCACGGTGCTACCCACTGGTCGATCCTCATTCACACTTACTGAGTAGTGGGCACTTTGAAAGACAGGCCGGTGGGTGTTGGCATCTGTGATGTTGATGTGCACATAGCAGTGATCATGAAGGGCACGGTCAGATGCAGTTAACACCAGCTTGAAGTAGCGTTCTTGCTTGTAGTCAAGTGGCAGAGCCAGAGTCACCAGACCCACGCCTCCCTGGGTGCTGATGGCAAAGCGGTTCCGGGTATTGCCACCTGTGATCTGGTAGCTGATGGCACTGTTGGCATCACGGTCCACAGCGGTTACGCTGACCACACTGGTGCCCACAGTTGCATCCTCATTAAGCCGTAAATGGTATTCTTTCATGGTAAACTCAGGTCGGTTGTCATTAACGTCCAACACAGTCACTGTGACACTGGCTGAGGCAGAGAGTGATGGGGAGCCATGGTCTCGTGCCTCCACTCCAAAGAAGTAATGCTCCACAGACTCACGGTCCAGGGGACCACTCACAGAGATCCAGCCAGTGGCACTGTTTATCACAAAGGGTGTATCAGATGCCGTGCCAGTTAGGGAGTACTCCAATCGCGCGTTCTCCCCATGATCAGCATCCACTGCCTGAATGTGGATTACAGAGTGACCCAGGGGTGCATTCTCTAGGACCGAGACTTGGAAGGGTGTGCTGACAAAAATAGGTGTATGGTCATTAATGTCCACCACCTGGATGCTGGCCAGGCCTGTGTTGTTGGACAGTGGTGGCCGACCCGCATCCTGTGCACGGATGCGCAAGGCATACTCCCGCTCTGCCTCGAAGTCCAAAGGCGCTACAACTTGGATCTCACCCGTGAGGCTGTCGATGGAGAAGTGTCCGCGGCTGTTCCCACTGATGATGTTGTAGTGTACCAATCCATTAGCGTCCTTATCCCGGTCGGTGGCTGTGACACGCAGCACCACTGTATGGGGGCGCACATCCTCCCGTACTTGCGCCACATAGCGCTTCTCGCTGAAGTGGGGGGCGTTGTCATTCTCGTCCAGCACCGTTATATGTACATGCACGGTGGCTGAACGTGGCCCGGGCTCTTGGCCCTGGTCACTGGCTTCCACTACCAGCTCGTAGCTCTCCATGTGCTCGCGGTCCACTCTGCCGCTAGTGCTGATGAGACCTGAGCGTGGGTCGATCTCAAAAGCTGCAGCAGCAGCAGTGCGTGATGCAGGTGGTCCCACGAAACGGTAGCGCAAATTTGCGTTAGGAGGTGCGTCACCATCTGTGGCACGTAACTGCAGGATAGGATAGCCTTCTTCCACGTTCTCACGAAGCGTCTCCCGGTACTGCGCCTGCTCAAACACTGGTGCGTGGTCATTACGGTCAGCCACTGACACAGCTACCATGGTTGTGGCTGAGAGGCGCGGTGAGCCGTGATCCTGCGCCGTAACACGCAGGTAGTGGCGATCCATGCTTTCACGATCCAGCGCGGCTGCCGTGCGGATGAGGCCGCTGTGCGAGTCAATGCTAAACAGCTCCAGCGAGCGGCTGTTCATGAGCGCCGCCAGCGAATAGACTAGGCGCCCAGCCTCGCCAGCGTCCGGGTCCTGCGCCACCACACGTAGTACTGCGGTGCCCGCCGCTTCGTTCTCAGGCACCGAAGCCTGGTAGTTGTATTGAGGAAACTGCGGGTGACGGTTTGCGGCGCGACGGGGACGTGCCCGATTCGCTGAGGGGATTATCCAGGATCTTGGCCGGACTGCGATCCCTGAGGGGCGCGGCCCCTGGTCTAGTGGAAGAAAGCGGCGACTGAGGCGACTACGGGAGCGCATGCGCCCGGGAGCTGTCCGAGACTCGAGTGGTGCTGAACCGGGCGAGGGAGCTGTCCTCTCCTTGAGCGGTGCTGAATCCAACCCCGGACCCGACCCTGCAGCCTGAGGACTATCCGGCCGTGAGGCTGTCCTTTCCGCTCGGAATGTCGCAGCTCTCTCGCGCTGACCCCGGCGCCCCGGCACCCACAATTCCACGCAGCAGTGCGCGGTTCCCACCCTTTTACGGGCGCCTCTTCCAGTGTTCCGCTGGAATGAAACTGGCCTGGGGCCATGGGGCCGAACCAGGATGTCTAAAGGGAGGGGCAAACTGTCTCCTGGACCCAGCACTCCTGGAGACAGAACCTCGGATGACACCCGATCTCTCTGCAGGGGTCCTGTTCTTCCTCCACAAGAAGCCTCCGGGTGCCAGCATAACAGAGACCCTGATGCCTGTCCTGTTTCTCGCCCGCGGCCAACCAATGCCTGTGCTCGGATCTTAGCCCCCAGCCCCTCTTCTGGATGCTCAGGGGGCTCTTGATCGTTCTGGACGTTTTGCCTTCCTCCTCGGAGCCCCAAGAGGACAGCCTCCCTGACTCCCAGGCCAGGCTCCCCATCCTCTTGGACCCTGGGCGTCTCGGGACAAAGAGCTAAGGCTCCGCCGCCGCTCCGCGCCCAGGGCCCCGTAGCGACAGCTGCCCCTGGGCCCCAGCCCTGGCCC